CATGGATTGCTTTAATCTGCCTCTTCCCGCCGCACCAGAAGCCTTGGCCGTAGTGTGGTGCCCACCGGTGTCCATGTGTGCTTCGGGAAGCCGAGCACCTCCGGCCACTCGCTCAGCTCTGCCCGGGCTCTGGCTTCCTCAGGGTTTCCTGGGAGCCATCCAGCTTCCCGGGGTTACATGTCCTCTGGCTGACCTCCTCGGATGCTGGGACTACAGCACTTAAAACACAAGCTCTTTGATTTTTTTTTTTTTTTTTTTACCCTAACGGCCTGGAATCAAGGGGCCCTGTTTGTTGACATAACATGCAGATCCTGCTTCAATCACACAGCCCTTCTTCTATACGCAGGAAAACCAATATGACTGGCTCTAGAGTACCTGGAAGGCAATCAGCACAAAAAAGACATAGACCTGCAGAGATGAGGGAGAGTTTCCCATGATCCTTCACTTGCACGAAGAAAATGCAAACCCACGCGCTTCTCTCAGACCCCGGGAATAGCCCAGTGACTCATCAGCCAGATGACTCTTTTGGCTAGGAGCTGGCAATGGCTCTGGCAGAAGGCAGCATTACACTCTCCACTTCACCTAGGTACCCCAGGCCTACCACTTACAGGGGTCTCCGAACCGACATTCTCTGTTTTCCTTCCTACCCTAACCAAGCTTCCTCTCCTCTGGCCATCCTCCCACACCGACGTGCCAGTGCAACAGAGATCCAGACCTGAATGCCCAGCGCAGCTCCGCTAACACGCATGCCGCCTAACATGCTGTGAGTGAGGGATGCTGGTGAGACAAAACTGAGACACAGCGGATCTAGAGGGGAAAAACAAGGATTTAATGGAATGAATGGAGAAGCTCCCAAAGTCCACACTGGAGCCACACCTCCGAGACTCTCTGACACTCTCCACTCCAGGATCAGTCCTTCCTTTCTGCCCACCAGAAGGCTGGGGATGCTCAGGAATATCGGTGCTTGATCTGCCCTTTCAGAGCCCTCTCCAGAGAGAGGATTAAGGTGCATTGCTAACTCCACGGAGACCATCTCCACGACAGCCTCCTCCTCAGCCCTTCAAATCTTCCAGGGAAGGGAGCTTAGCCCAGAAATCCCTCTCTCCATGGCAAGTGAAGAATCCTTGTGTTATCCAACAGGTGGTAAAGGCTGTATAGAAACCATCCTGGGGGGAGGGAGGGAGAGCCACACTGGTCCTAGCAATGAGATTCGAGCTCTGTCAGCATCAGGAGGCCAGCTCTGGTGGAGGGAAGGGGCTGTCCCGTGCTCGGCATGGAAGGCAAGTCCTCAAGTGGGCAGGTGAGTTGGCGGAGCCTCTGGAAGGCAAAGGCAGGCATTGAACACAGCCGCAAGGACAAAAGGTGACCTGGGCCCTCCCCTTCCAGGCATGGGTATCATTCAGCCAGCCAGGCAGGGCTGCAGGTTTGGTCCCTAAATGCCAGAGATGTCCCAAATTAGGACAGTAAGCACTTCAGAGACTGAGGGGATAAACTCATCTTTGAACTACTTGTCCCAAGACAAGCACTGAGCACAGGAGACACCTGAGACACAGTAAGAAAGCTTTGTCCTCCATTTGCTCCAGGCCAGGGCTAGAAAGCAGTCCAAAGAAAGGTCGGTGCCCAAGTACTTCCAGGTCATCTCCTCCATCAGCACAGACTGCAAAGGGAGAGCCTGTGCACACAGGTTTGGCTTTAACTGGGACAGCAAGTGCGCAAGGGGTACCCTCTATGTCATGCAGCATGGCCCTTGCTGTGCTCCTGCAGCTGTGCCCACTCCTCCCTGTCTGCGCTGGACACAGGGGCTGGGGCTCATTGCTGTCACAACCCATTCTTGAGCACTTGTGGGAGGCAGAGAATGGGTGGGATCCTGGCGGTTCAGGACTGTCTGTGAAACCTCCTCCTGAAACCATGAGCCATGGCAGATGGGAGGGATGCCTGTCTGGAGCAAGGTCTGGTTTGCCAGGTCCCTGCCCTCCCGATGCACATCATCCAGAGCAGCCAGCAATGGGTCACAGCAGCTCCAGGAGCTGGGCAGGCCCAGGGCACTGAGACCATGATGGAAACTCCAAAGTCCTGGTGATCTCCTACACCCGTCCCTATGGCCTCAGCATAGACTGGGGAACTCAGCTGCCCACAACGCTCATGGGATCTGGAGCTTTCTCAGAGCAAGTCCCCAAGCCTCGGTCAAGGGCAGCCTCCAAACTGACTCGAGGCACTGGAGATCATCTTCATCCTCTCCATCTAATGAACTTTTTCCTAATGGTGTTTGCAAAGAGACAGAAGCAATAAACAAAGGGCACCAAGAGGCAACAGCCAGCTTGGAGCAGCTCTCCAGACAGGCAGAACTTAATAAAACCAGCAGTCAGTTATAGCAATGGACTCATTCAATCAATTTATTCTAGGCTCCCTGTTAATTAACCTGCAACACACAAATGATCCCTCTGCGAGGCTGGACTTCAACACAGAAGCACAGCCCATGCCCTGATCCCAGAGCACCAGCCTCACCTCTCTGAGGGAGCCTTTGATGGTGGAGAGTTTGTAGACGATCCAGAGAGGGATGCATACCATGGAGGAGAGGGCCAGCAGCCAGCCAAGGGTGTCTCCCCACCACGGGTACACGTACTTCTTGTTGTATGTCAGCGGGGTGTATTTGATCAGGGAAAACAGGAAGGTTGCCTGGCAAGTTGGAAGAGGCCAAGAGAAAAAGAGCAAGAAAATCAACATTAGCCAAGAGAGGTCCTTCCTGGTGAGTCCACACCTGCACAGAGATGCATGGTAACAAAGAGCTCCCCAGGACAGCAACAGAGGAGACACCAGTCAAGCAAGCTTTGCTGGAACAGCCCCCATGTGCAGCACTGGGCACGGCAGCAAGGAGCTCGCCCCACCAGCAGACACCTCTATCACTGCTGAGCTGGGTGCCTGCCCCCGTTGTTCAGCCCCACGCCTGGCCCCCAAAGCCACAAACACACAGAACGACAGGCTCCCATAGTACAGGCCACATAACCCCCTATACATGTGTACATCCCTCTGTAGATACATAAGTATCTGTATCTCAGAGGCACCCAGTTCTGCCCTTCTTCCTCCCCTACAGCTCCTCTTCCTGTGGGCCCTCACCATACAAACTGCCGGGGTGATGAAAAGCCAGCAGTATTTGATGATGGGCCACGGTCGGTAACCGATCATATCTTCAATGTTATCGTAGAAACGCTCAGCACCTGTGGAAGAGGAGAAGGATGCCTCACTGCTACCAGGGAAGGAGGGCAGCAGGGTCTGCATGTCCAGGATCCTGCTTCACCACTGTTTGGGCACTCCCCAGAAGACAGGAGAGTAACCTCAGCATGGCCGACAGCCCTGTCAGGGAGCTTGCCAGGAGCGTGGCCAACTAACAACCTCTCCAGGATCCATCCAGGACTAACATCCTCTCACTCCAGAACAGCCCAGCGGGTCGGCAGGGCCAGCCCCTCAGCTGGCATCTCCCAGGTAAGGACCTGAACCCAGGCTGGGACCCGAGCCCAGGTTTTACCCATCCCTTGTAAATGTCAAGGCTGAGAGAGGGCTCTCAAAAACGTTTGAGGGTCTCAGATTCCTCTGTATACATGTTGGGAAAAGATTTCCCAGCCAGGTCCAAGTCCCCAAGGAAGGAGGGCCTCAAAAGCAGGGGCACATAGGAACATATTGAGGATATCTGCCAAGCAGATCCCCCAGGGTGTTGCTGTGAGGAAGCCCCTGCTAGCTGAGTCCACAGGCACCAAAGCAAGGGTTTAGAGGTCTGCCTTGCACTGCAAAGCGATTGCCAAGAGAAGCTATGGACCAGCATTTTTAGGATGGACCAAGCAAGAGCCTGAGAGACCAGAGCAGGGGATGCCCTGGTTCATACTCACCATAGACCCAGGCGATGCAGAGAGTCTCGAAGATGGCCACAAAGAGCAGGCACATGCCACTGGCAGCATAGTAATCAAAGAGCTGGAAGACATACATCCCACCCTGGGAAGGGCCAAGCAGGCAGCGAGGCGAGGTGGGGAGGGAGAGAGGGGAGAGGAATCAGGCACAGGCAAAAAGCTCCAGCCAGAGCAGGAAATAAACTCAACATCTTCCCCAGAGATGGAGGCACCTTCCTCTCTCCGAGGCACGGCTTTAGCCAACAGCAAAGGCCATGTCCCTTGTGCTCAAGGCCTGATGGAGACATGCAGCAGCCCTGCTCTCGGGACTCTCTGCAGCCCTTCATTCCAGGGCAGGGGAGGGGAGGGCAAGTGACTGCCAGAGATCAGGGCGGTATTTTAGGACAAGACAAAAACAAAGCAACTCTTGTATCTGGAAGGGTGGAAACCCCCTTAAGAGACACAATGCACCTGATTTACTTCAGCCTCCTAATTTGCCCAGGGAAGTAGCAGTGCATGCCGTTTTGCCAGTACCTGTTGCTGTGGGCCCAGAGGCTGGCAGCCTGGCTGTTTCACTGCCCAGGTCTGCAAGGTTGTCTACAAAATGGGCCTGCAGGTAAGTCCAGGCACAAAGCTGCAGGCGCAACATCAAAGGCAGCTTTTTCAAAATTCTGCCCAAATGAAAACAGAAGCTGCAAAGAGCATCATGGCAGCATCAATCCCCACACACCTACTGCTTGCTAGGAGGAGTTAAAGGCTTTAAACCAGAACAGTTACACTCCCAGGCAATTAATCACAACAAGAGGAATATATAGGAAATTAGTGTAATAGATATGGGGCTCACTCAGGCCCACCAAATTTCCTTACACCAAGCGTTCAGGTAGCTCCATCCAGGAGGAACGAGAAGGACAAAGGCTCTCCCCTCACCATGCAACAGGCTACAGCTGTAAAGCTTTGGCTCATGTAAAGCTAAATCTATAACCAAAATATGGGCTGTCCAGAGCTCCAATTATCAGTCTTGGCAGGAGAGGTGTCAGGATTGTGACTGGCATAAAGAGTGAGGGCTGGAAGGGAAAATGCGAACACCATGGGGAGGAAGGGGAGCCTCCCCCAGGCACTGTGCAGCAGGATGGGGCTCACCAGCAAGCTCTTGGCCCCAGCATGGACCCCACCACCCGCCAGGCCCCCCTCTGCTAGGGGGGCACTCAGACCCAGCAAGCACCATGCAGGTGGTCTGAGCCCAAAATACCTCTGTGAGCATCACCAGCCCGACCAGATAGGAGAGGATGGAGACCACCAGGATGAGGGTCTCCCGGCTGTTCTTCTTGTGGAAAATGGTGGGGTACATGTCCACAAGGGCTGTGACGAGGCTCTCCACGCAAACAAACTGCAAAGAGCAGAGACCCCACTTCCATCAGCCTGTCCCGACTGGCTCCCCAGCCCCGCTGCCCCCCACTCAGCCAAGTTCAAGCCTGTCCCAAAGGGACGTCGCTTTTGTCTGGCAGGGAATTGCCCTGCACCTCCGCCTTTACCTGGCTGTCCAGTCCCAGCAAAACAACCATCAGGAAGAAGAAGCATGCCCAGAGCGGGGAGAAGGGCAGCATGACCACAGCCCGAGGGTAGGCGATGAATGCCAGGCCAGGCCCTGCGGGGAGAAGGGCTTTCAGAGCGGGCAGCAGCACGGCAGTGACAGCGGCACGGCGCAGCTGATGCAGACCTGCCTGAGGCAGCCACCCGGCCACA